TGACAGTAAATAAAGAACAATTGTCATGCCAGCATGACAGTCAGCCCTACAGATTTACTAGGCTTCTCAGAGATACACAAGGCTTCCTAGGAATGTCAAAAATTTTCCTGGGACACAAACTCAGCATAAGTCATATTAAGAACACACAGAGCTCCCTCACATTGCCTAAAAAGAAGAAAACCATGGACCCGACAGGGATACCTAGCATCCACAAGGTAAGCCACAGGGATACATAGCATCTACCAGGGACCCCACTGAGACACCTAGCACCTACCTGGGACCCCACAGAGACACCTAGCACCTACCATGTACTCCACAGAGACACCTAGCACCTACCATGGACCCCACAGAGACACCTTGCACCTACCAGGCACCCCACAGGGATACCTAGAATCTACCAGGGACCTTACAGGGATACCTAGCTCCTACAAGGGACCCCACAGGGATACATAGCATCTACCAGGGACCCCACTGAGACACCTAGCACCTACCTGGGACCCCACAGAGACACCTAGCACCTACCATGTACCCCACAGAGACACCTAGCACCTACCATGGACCCCACAGAGACACCTTGCACCTACCAGGCACCCCACAGGGATACCTAGCCCCTACCAGGGACCCCACAGGGATACCTAGCATCTACCAGGTACCCTTCACAGATACCTAGCACCTACCAGGGACCCCACAGGGATACCTAGCATCTACCAGGTACCCTTCATAGATACCTAGCACCTACCAGGGACCCCACAGAGACACCTAGCCCCTACCAGAGACCCCACAGGGATACCTAGCCCCTACCAGGTAAGTCACAGGGATACCTAGCATCTACCAGGGACCCCACAGGGATACCTAGCCCCTACCAGGGACCCCACAGGGATACCTAGCACCTACCAGGGACCCTACAGGGATACCTAGCACCTACCAGGGACCCCACAGGGATACCTAGCCCCTACCAGGGACCCCACAGAGACACCTAGCACCTACCATGGACCCCACAGAGACACCTAGCACCTACCAGGCACCCCACAGGGATACCTAGCATCTACCAGGGACCCCACAGGGATACCTAACACCTACCTGGTACCCCACAGGAATACCTAGCACCTACCAGGGACCCTTCAGGTATACCTAGAATCTACTAGGGATCCTACAGGGATACCTAGCTCCTACCAGGGACCCCACAGGGATACCTCGCTCCTAGCAGGAATCCTACAGGGATACCCAGCATTTACCTGGGACCCCACAGGGATACCTAGCCCCTACCAGGGACCTCTCAGTGATACCAAGCATTTACCAGGGACCCCATCAGTATGCCTAGCTCCTACCAGGGACCCCACAGAGACACCTAGCCCCTACCAGAGACCCCAGAGGGATACCTAGCCCCTATCAGGTAAGCCACAGGGATACCTAGCATCTACCAGGGACCCCACAGGGATACCAAGCATCTACCAGGGACCCTACAGGGATACCTAGCCCCTACCAGGGACCTCACAGGGATACCCAGCATTTACCAGGGACCCCACAGGGATACCTAGCCCCTACCAGGGACCTCTCGATGATACCGAGCATTTACCAGGGACCCCTCCAGGATACCTTGCACCTACCAGGGACCCCACAGGGATACCTAGCCCCTACCAGGTAAGCCACAGGGATATCTAGCATCTACCAGGGACCCCACCAGGATACCTAGCATCTACCAGGGACCCCACAGGGATACCTAGCCCCTACCATGGACCTCACAGGGATACCGAGCATTTACCAGGGACCCCATCGGGATACCTAGCATCTACAAGGGACCCTAAAGGGATACCTAGCATCTACCAGGGACCCCCAGGGATACCTAGCACCTACCAGAGACCCTACAGAGATACCTAGCACCTAACTGGGACCCCACAGAGACACCTAGCCCCTACCAGAGACCCCACAGGGATACCTAGCCCCTACCAGGTAAGCCGCAGGGATACCAAGCATCTACCAGGGATCCTACAGGGATACCTAGCATCTACCAGGGACCCCATAGGGATACCTAGCTCCTACCCGGGACCTCTTGGTGATACCGAGCATTTACCAGGGACCCCACCGGGATACCTAGCACCTACCAGGGACCCCACAGAGACACCTAGCCCCTACCAGAGACCCCACAGGGATACCTAGCCCCTACCAGGTAAGCCACAGGGATACCTAGCATCTACCAGGGACCCCACAGGGATACCTAGCATCTACCAGGGACCCTACAGGGATACCTAGCATCTACCAGGGACCCTACAGGGTTACCTAGCATCTACCAGGGACCCCACAGGGATATCTAGTACCTACTAGGTAAGTCACAGGGATACTGATCATGTAACCGGGACCCCATAAAAGGATATCCAACATTTACTAGGGACCCAACACTGGGATAGCGACCATATACAAGGTATTTCCTAAGGTTATCCAGGACCAAGGATATATGAGAATAAGAACTTTTAAAGCTTTTAAAGTCAAACAGCCAACTAAACTTCAACATTAGCTCTGGTATTGAGAAAATAAAGTGTTTTTTTTTAAATATCTAGTTAAGATCATTATAAGGATTCTGAGATAGTCATTTTCAAAATTAAACTCAACTAATATCTTGACCACATACATTTAGCTCCATCTCAACATCAAAATAAACCACTTTACTGTCATCCATATAACATCAGGTTACTTATTCTTAACAAGCAAAACCCAGGAAAAATGATGACTTTTATATGTGCATACTTCAGCCATGCGAGAAGCTGGTACATGTACTGTGCCCCCCTCAGACCTGGGACATGGTGTGGTAAGTTGAGGTGACAAAAGGTGGAACGGAGTAATTGATTACATTTACATATCTATACACTACACATTGCATATACAATAAAAATATACAAATCAAAATATACAAACAAAATTTAAAGTATTTTTTTTCAAAATACTAACTATAACTTCATATATATATAATTTAAGTACATACAACTTTGTTTCATGTTCACCTCCTGAGCCCTTCCAAACAAACACAGACACACAAATAGTTTCATTCAAATTATTTAAAATGACGAGGCTAGCAAATGTCAATCTTGCACATAATTCATATAAAAATAAGTACTGTTATATGACACTAGAGATACAAATCCTTATTACTTAGGTTCAGCTTTCATTATTCAATCAATAATTTAAATTATATATAGTTATAAAACAAGGTAGTTTCATGACAAATTAGTTCACATCATTATGTATGTTTTCCAGGTACACTATGACCTTAAAAAACTATTATTCAAGTTAATGGTGCCTTATCTGAACAGCGAGACACTGGAAGTAAACATTTTGTAAATGTATTTTATAAAGCATGTTACAAAATGTCAAATAATATTGCCATGCAACAAAGGTCAAGGTTGACTGATTTCTGTTATCACGTCATATTTTTAAGACTTAAATTCAGCATTAGGTCAAGGGTGGCAGAATCCAATTTGAACTTTGGTCAAGAATGACCAACTCTGATCTGATACGACTACTAAACAAATTTCATTTAGATGAAATGTGAAATGTCACATTTGAATCACGACTCAGAATGTTGTTGTATTAATTACTACAAAGGGTAATTTATTGTATAGTAAGTATTAGAGAAGTATTGTAATTAAGTAAATCTCCTCCTAGAACGGACTAATCAGACCTTACCAAGGTATTTCAAAGCTGTTCAGAAGGGTCATATGACACCCAAATGACCGTATCCTGCTAGTACAGATCTTCTCAGACTTTATAAAGGCATTTTGAAGCTCTATAGTAGGATCATACGATGTCCAAGTGACTGTATCCTGTTTGAACAGACCTTACCAGACCTTACCAGACCTTATCAAGACATTTAGAATCTCTTCTAAAGGATCATATATCGGCCAAGTGACCGTTCCCTACTCAAACAGTCCTTATCAGATCAAAGTCAGTCATTTTGAAGCTCTACAGAAGGATCATATGTCATTCAAGTGACCATATCCCTGCTAGAATGGACTTTATCAGACTAAAGCCTGTCATTTTGAACAGATTATCCGGAATGGTTTCTAAATATCATAAATAAACAATAAAGAATTAATTCAAAGGGACATGCAGCCTGCTACTAGTCTAAACAGTTTACAAGATTGTAAAGCAACCAATTATTCTTGTTACATTCACACATTCATGTTCAACTCATATAACCTCAACTGAAAACTTTACCAAAGCCCTGTATGCTGTATATCAACATTTACAGCTGGATATACCAAGCCTGTGATACTGGTGTTGACAGCACCACACCACACATCTGCTTGATATACCAAGCCTGTGATTCTGGTGTTGTCAGCATCAAACCCCACATCTGCTTGATATACCAAGCCTGTGATCCTGGCGTTGACAGCACCACACACATCTTCTGGATATACCAAGCCTGTGATACTGGTGTTGTCAACACCACACACCATATCTGCTGGATATACCAAGCCTGTGATACTGGTGTTGGCAGCACCACATCACACATCTGTTGGATATACCAAGCCTGTGATACTGGTGTTGACAGCACCACAACAGACATCTGCTGGATATACCAAGCCTATGATACTGGTGTTGTCAGCATCACATCCCACATCTGCTTGATATACCAAGCCTGTGATATTGGTGTTTGAATCATCCCATAACATTTGCTAGATCTACCACACCATTGATACGGATGTTAGCAGCACCACACCAAAATTAATTTGGTCCTGAAAGGTCCCAAATGTGTCAAAAATCCTTGTGTTACATATCGCTGATCACAACTCCACTTGTAACATGTCAGACTTCACTGACCAAGACTCCAGTTGGAATACAGTGTGTCACTCTATAAGACTTCATTTGCAGCATGTCACATCGCTAAGCAAGACTCCATTTGCAGCATGTGATAGTAGTGATCATGTTAACTTTCTCACATTTTTTTAAGACAATTAAATATAACAAGCTTTTATCACATGTCTTTACATTGAATACTAAACTATGCCATTTATCACCACTTCATATCCTTAATCACCCATTTTTGAGAAGCACTGCCATCACATGGTCCTGAAACACAAAGAAAAAATCAGATTATGATATACAATGTGTCATATTGCAGGTAAAAACATTGTATCACAATCACAGGATATGAAATATGTGTATGTGAAATGAGACCAAAATATGTGCTCCTATAAAGCTAGCTAACGGAATCACTTCATGCAGATTTCAATACACACAAGATAGTTAAGGACGAAAAAACAGAATCTTATGTGTTAAATATGGATTAAATTAATACAGTAAAACCCCGCTAAGTTGAACTCCTTCAGACCATGTCAATAGTTCTAGGAATACAGGGTATTCAAGTAATAGTTCGTCATAAATTGTCACGTACCCATCATCCGTGTATGTAAATGATTGATTAGATACACATTATTTTTAACCACTTCAGTTCATGATTTTTCTTCAGTGTTTTTTGTAGCATATTCATTTACGGCAATATATAAACCTGCATGTCGCTAAAAATTATGGTTTTTAACACTTGGTGTTTGTAAAAAGGGGAACTTTCAGAATTTAACATTAAGATAAACTGTTGAATAAATTATACATACAGTCATCAAATCACTAGGAAAAACAGAATTTCAGCTCTGACATATGTGTACACAATTTATCGTCAATTAGTGTGTAATTCACCTAAACAACTGTCAAAATGTACGAGTGAATCATCTTTACTTCCATAAACTGGCTTACGCTCGGAGACAAAGTTCTGTTTGAACAACAGTTAATTTTTCTGAGTCAAGTGACAGAATGAAGAACGTGAATTTATTAGAAATTTCCCGACGCAACAATGAAATAACATTGCAGGTGACAATGTATGTATATAATGATACCAGTATTTATCCCGTAATTATCAGCTGTTCTCCCAGACATGTGTATGAAACACAGGAGTGATTGAACCTTTTCCTACAGTTGGAAGCAGGCGTGTGTGATACAGGTAAACTTTGGCAAACCTGCACGCGACATCTGTTCGCCTTAAAAAAGTGCAAATACTTTTAACGTGCAGCAATGGGGATAAAACACAGCATGAGGAATAGAGGGTATTCGGGGAATAATGGTTCAAGGAATCTGACAATAAACAACAAGAAATATGTAAGAGCATGGTCGAGACCAAGCCACCAGTTTGACGGACAGGAGGTATCTGAGGAATACAAGTAAGTGGAGTTTTACAGTACATACTAATTTACTTTCATCAAAATAAAACTGCTTTATTTATATCAGGCAGAAAAGATTGATCAGTCAACAGTCCTTATTCCAGTAGGGGGTAGAGGTAAAGTGTTTTCAAAAGTGGCTTTGGACGATTCCCTATCTAATGGTTTCACAGACACTTGGCCCGTGACATGGGGAAGGAAAAAGGGCGGAGTAGTGAGGTCTTACCAAGACTGGATAGGACATAAAATTTTACCGATAATGCAAGTGATTTTCGTGACTCAGATATTTGAATCCTGGACTCATGCATTTCTTCTAGAATGTGTTTTTTTTTTCTGTCTGCAACCTCTCTCTATCTCTAGGTAAGAAGATTCATCCAAATTTTGAAACTGGTAGTGTGGATGAAAATCTAACAAAATGACAAAGTCCTTGATTCCCTATCTGATACAGGAGCTATACTGAACATGAGATGAATATAGAGGTGCATGTACCATTAGTAATTCTCTATCTGATGACTTGGTAGCACCTAGACACTGGGTGGGTAGGGGACAGGAGAGGAGGGGAAGTTAAAGTCTTACCAATACTGGGTGATTCCCATCCTGATGACTTGGCAACACCTAGACACTGGGTGGGTAGGGGACAGGAGAGGAGAGGAAGTTAAGTCTTACCAATACTGGGTGATTCCCATCCTGATGACTTCGCAAGACCTAGACACTGAGTGGGTAGGGGACAGGAGAGGAGAGGGGGGTAAAGTCCTACCAATACTGAGTGATTCTCATTCTGATGACTTGGCAGCTCCTTAACACTTTGTGGGTAGGGGACGGGAGAGGAGAGGGGGGTATACTCTAACAAATACTGGGTGATTCTCATTCTGATGGCTTGGCAGCACCAAGACACTGGATGGGTAGGGGACGGGAGAGGAGAGGGAGTTAAGTCTTACCAATGGTGGGTGATTCCCTATCTGATGGCTTGGCAGCACCAAGACACTGTTTACTATTAATGTGTCGAAGCTCCAAACTCTGGAATATAAATACAAATATTTGAATAGTGTCACAGAACGAACCATACAGCATGAATTTCAATACAAAGTGATAACATAAACTACAACTATTAATTCTATGAAGTTATTAAGACTGGATATTGAAAGACTTCAGTGTTTCCCTTACTATCAGCCACCATTTTTCAGTCCAATGATTTCCCTATCTCAAGTGTATGGTAACTTTGCCCTGTTCATGGTGCACATATTTGGAATTGTTTTTCCCCCAATCCAAAACAGGATGCATTTAGTGGATTTTTTCATCAGTTTCATAAGAATATCAACAAATGATGTTATATTTCCACATTCATTGTTATGTTACAAGAATGGATTCATAGAATCTTTCTCCACCTTGAGAAAAACAAATCTAAATTTAGGCAAAAGAATCTGAAATATCCAGACACAAGCTTTGCAAAGGACTCAAAATTTCAGAATTCCATTCTTAGAGTTAATTTTTTCTGCCTCAAGATGGGGGCTCCCACTAAATGTTTCTTTTTTTTCTCCTGGCCTCATTTTGTGTTGAATATTGTAATATTTGTTAGCACAGTTACACTTGGACAGCTTATGAATATAAATTTGAATAAGGAAAGGTCTTTCAAATAATATAGTTGACTGAACTAATTCATTGATAGCCCATTATAAATGGTATAAAAAAAAACTGTCAACTTTAAATGTGCTATTGAAGAAGTAGTAGGCATGTCAAATGACTTTAGTCTTGATTTTTCCATATTCAGAAAAGCTGAAAATTGAGACTGTTAGATAGGGGGAGACCACTCTTAGAAACAGCTTACTACACTCTTAGAAACAGCTTACTACAGATTTCTATATCAATGGTACTCAATAGATAAATAACTGCTGTAAATGTCCACATCAAAACATAATAAACATTTACATTAGGTCAACATAAATCATTATAAAACACCATAAAATTCTATTAGAATTATAACCCTGTACATTATAAGTAATGAGGTTAGGTGGTATGTTATCAAACTCAATGCTATAACACAACATCACCTTGTTTATTGTAAACAGATCCAACAACAATAGTGCCAGCATCATGATAGCAATTTCCCAAAAATCTATGGCAGTGGTTGTACTCTTGTACTCCTGGTACTTTTGTACTAGTGGATATATTACCGATATCAGGGGACACACAACAGTTTGTATGCAACATCAGCCAATTAATTACTTCTTTAATCTGAATCAAAAATTTTTATTCTAAGCCATGCAGTCACCAATACAATCAAAGATATTTACACAGAAAGTGTTTGTTAATTTTGAATAGTTTTATATGCTGGAATTTCTCAAAATCAGAAACAGAATTCAAAACAAGAAAATGCAGTCCAATGAGGTGTTATCCTGATTACAGTCAATCCATAACTTTAAATGAAATTGTCAGGGACCAGGGTAACATGCATTATGCTTCAAAGAGTCTTTCTTGTAGAATGAAGTGTTGTCTTCATCTTGCAGGAACTTGCTATCATAATGCACAAATTATATTCTCATAACAATTGTGATTTGACAAAGCATTTTTAAATGTCCCTCCTCATCTCTGTGACAGGGCATAATAAAAATTCTACAATATGTAGAAAAATTTATGAGCAGAAAATGAAAAGACAATCCAAAATAAAAAAAAAAGTTTTTACGACTTGAAAAACTTTACCGGAATAGTTCAAGAGGAAGATGGATTTTGCTTTTACATTTAAGGATAAAGTTTACAAAGTCTACAACGACAGACAGCTAAAAGGTAATACCCATATTTCCAGCAGAGGAGGGACAAATATAGTGCATCAACGCAACATCACCAGTCGCTTTTCGTCAATCAAGGAAAAGTCATTTATACAAATTATTTCTTTACTTTCTTTGTATTTTAAAGCTACTATTTAGAATAAAAAAGGCCATGTATTACAAACACCAGTACAACTGTATCCCCAAAAAGGTTGAGGGGACATCATCTAAATATATGTTACAGTCTGTGCTTGTGAAGATTATTCTTTGCAACATGACTTCACTTGGTTGACAGTAAGCGACAATGGTGAGATATTACTCGTATCAACACATTCAAAACACCAGGCCGGCCAGCATGCTGTGATCCTCACTCCATGGTCAACAATTAATCACCCCTTAGTAAAAGGTAGTTCATCACCTCTTATTAATAGATACTGGTCATTTTCCCTGAAGAACAGGTCAAGGTTATCTCCTCCTAGTAACAAATATATGTTATAGACCCTACAAAGCTTGTAAAAGTTATCTCCCATTACATACAGCTTGTCTTCCCTAACAACAGGTACATATTACCTTACCTTAAAAACAGGTACAGGTAATTGTATTCAAACATCTACAATGTTAGTAATGTTTTGTTCCTCAGTTACAGACACAGGTATCTCCCTTTACAGGAGTACTTTTTCCTTGTACAGAGATATGCATACATGTAGCAAATTCAGACAGGTATTAATAGGTCAGGGCGAAGGACAAACAAGTCGAAGGTTTAGTAGGCTGTGCTGGTGTTAATATCTCTACAAGGCTGTTATAGATGCTACAAGTCGGTCCCTACTGTAAATAATTGCTGTTTAATCACATAACTCAATAAACATGATGCACTATAGGATCATGATTTTGGGTACTGCAAAAATGAAATTTCAATTTACAGGTCTTCATTAATTTTGAAACTCCTTTCTTCATTTTGGCATTTTTACAATAGCTCTTGTAAAAATACTTAAAGCAAAAGTATGTATTAGTCTGAAAATTATTTTTATCGACAGCTTTTTGATTGCAACTGTACCATTTTTAGCAGGTGGGACAGATGCCAAAACAAATTCCATTTTTACCAAAGTATTCAAATCAAGCAGTACATAACAGACCTATATGCTTTTAAGTGCATTACATTACATCAGTAAGACTGCAGTACATGTTTTTAGTCTACATTTACACCCATAGATTAATCTGTATAAGTTATAGTCTACAATTGTAGGAGTACAATATATTAGCCTGCACTCTAAAATGTGTTAAGAATCTATGTGTGATAATATATACCTGTATGTGTATAATGTATTAGTCTAAGTACAAACCTTTATTTCAGTCTATAGGTAGTATATACAGGGGTATTAATTCATCTTATAGCTAATGTGTGTTAGTTCATATAAAATTCAGCCTATTTTAAACGTGTGTTAGTTTATATATACATGTCAGCCTATGGTGAATCAAGCCTTTTTATATTGCATGCATGCATATTCCTACTCATACATTTCTGCCAATAGTGCTTGTGTTAGCATACATATACATTGCAGCCTATATATATATCTTAGTTTATACCTATGCTTACTTATATCTACATGTTAACCTATTCCTGTGTTAGCCTATGTATATATGAGCTAGAACATACCTACACCTACAATAGCCTATACCTATATGAACCTACACCTTCTATTAGGACTACACCTCCACCATTGCCTTTCCTTCACCATCAAATTAGCCGGTCTCTCCTCACACTGTTATGTGTCATAAAATCACACAATACAGAAAAAGGAAGGGAAAGTGGTCCCTTCCTTCTCTACCCCTAGAATTTTATAGGTTCCCTTCCCTCTCAACCCCTAGAATTTTATAGATTCCCTTCCCTCTCAACCCCTAGAATTTTATAGGTTCCCTTCCCTCTCAACCCCTAGAATTTTATAGGTTCCCTTCCCTCTCAACCCCTAGAATTTTATAGGTTCCCTTCCCTCTCAACCCCTAGAATTTTATAGGTTCCCTTCCCTCTCAACCCCTAGAATTTTATAGGTTCCCTTCCCTCTCAACCTCTAGAATTTTATAGGTTCCCTTCCCTCTCAACCCCTAGAATTTTATAGGTTCCCTTCCCTCTCAACCCCTAGAATTTTATAGGTTCCCTTCCCTCTCAACCCCTAGAATTTTATAGGTTCCCTTCCCTCTCAACCCCTAGAATTTTATAGGTTCCCTTCCCTCTCAACCCCTAGAATTTTATAGATTCCCTTCCCTCTCAACCCCTAGAATTTTATTGATTCCCTTCCCTCTCAACCCCTAGAATTTTATAGGTATCTCTGGACTGCTATTTGATAAGCTCAAAACTTTTAAATTTCTAAACCCATCCAATAACTGACAATGATTCTGCTACAATCAAATAATAAATGATCCTGGACACAGAAAAAATGATTGGAATGTTGTGAATTTAGTACTACAGCTGGCTGGCATCAGTCATGCAGAGCTAACACACATAGAGACAAGTAACTAAGCCTTTGATATTTCTTGAATATGAAATATGAACGAATTCTAAATAAACAAGATGAACTGACATCAATACCGTATAAGTAATGTTATAACAACATTTTAATGATTTTTAAAATGAAATTTAGACATTTTTTGACAACTATTACAACCAGGTTACTGTACATTGGTCATTCTAGATGAGAGTTTGACCCAGAGAACAGCACGAAGAGAAGAGAGCGGCTACAATCTCTCAGGTGGGGCATGTGGGTGAGGGAGCAGTTAGGCTGTGAAACACCACACCCAATAAGCAAGGTTACAAGCTACAATTCAACACTACCTGTCGTATATATTTCCATCGCCCTTTTCCACTGTCACATCGCACAAATTTTACTTGATTGTACGCAGCCTCCATACAGATGTTTTCGTCGGTCATTATCTGCTGCTTGCCTGTGTAGGCAAACACCTGGTAATACATGCAGATTTAGCATTATAGACACATGGAGTGGAAGGCAAGCCTATAGAACGGCAGCCACAGCATGCCAGCCTCACAGCCCTGGAAACAATCTGATTAATACCACTAGTCCTGACTCAGCTGCCTTCTTCCACAAACACACCACACTAATTCACGGTACTCTAAATTTCTTTTACTTCAGCCTAACCTGTCTCATGTTTAATCATTTTTTGTATGATAAAAAAAAATCACCACCACTGAGGAATAAATAGCTCAAAAAGTGTAAGAATTTGAAATCAAATGAATTCAAAGTAAGAAAAACCGAAACCAGTAATTAATTCATAAGAACATGTTAGGTTTGTTCAGATGTTAACTAGCTGTTGTTGTTACTGTGTGTGTGGTCAGCAGGTTAAACTGGTCAGTTTTGTAGACGTCAGGTCAAGGACAGCCAGTTACCTGTCCATTATAATCCCACTGCTGATTGCCACCCAGACCATGACACTGAAACAATTTTACCGGGCCACCGATAGACGAGACATCCAAGCACAAATCATCTGTTTGTAAAGCTTTCTTTTTTGTGTAAGAAAAGATCTGAAAGTGTGTAGTCATGGTATATCAAATTAGCAAGTGGTGATATATGATGGTCTTTCTGTCCCTCTTCAGAGGTTCAACATAATTCAAATTCTAACTCTCTTGAAGTAATTATCCTAAAAATACATATGAAAGATTTACACAAAATAGCATAGTATATATAATAAATTCAATAAAAAGAATAAATTAAGGCTCGATATTACAAATTCATCTTCTCAATTAAACATAACATTACATAACTATTGCACAATTTTTTTTAATGATAACTAGATTGTAGATCATATAACAAACCAATATAAGAATCTTTACAAACATTCCACAACCTTCCTGTAATTCCAACTGCAATTCCTGTATCAGATCCCTATTAATTACTATATAATACAAATGTATATCAGAAACATAACATAGGATTTTCTCATAGAGCTGCTTTCTAAAAATACACTTTTGTATACTTTTCTTCTCTGTTATCTTGACTTAACACTTCCCCTTGAGTACTATATCATCTTCCTTGTCTTGTTCTTTAGCCTTCCTTACAATGCCTGGTCATATCCCCTACCACATCTTATTACCACCCTTATATTTCCTTATAATTTTTCCCTCACATATTTTATTACCTCCCTTACATTCCTGCATTTTTAAGTCTTTTTGGTTTTCTCTGCCTTTCATTTCAAACTATCACATGATGCCCCACATGTTTTGTCATTTCTTTCCCTGCCAAACAAGGCTTCCTGCCCTAACTTTGCCATGTTTTTGTAAAACCTTTTCCCTCTTCTATCACACATAATTACCTCCCTTTACATTTCCTTTTTTGTTTTCCTTGCCTTACCTGGTTACCTCCCATGCCATGACAGTTGACAAGGCCAACTTTCTCTCCACTCTTCCTTCCCATACTGTCCACACAGTGACCAGTCTCTTTGTTACGAATCTGTACACATAAAACAAGGTGATACACAGCTATCACTATGTCCCGATTTCCATACTGTTTGTTACAAATCTATCTGCATTAAAAATTCCTGATAAACAGTTTTAACAAAATGACATCACTTTACTGTTTATATGACAAATGGGAATAACTGACAAAACTTCCAGTGCATTTATATATATTACACTTTAAATCATTCCCTTGTATACATATCAAAAATTTTTTGAGGAATTAAGTTGTATGCTGAATCATGAATGCCTGTACAAATTACACTGTTCCTCACCTCTCCCAGTGCAAAATATTCCACTGGCATCTGAGATTCAGGATAAACATTTTCCAGGTACCATCGGAAGCTTTTGCAATTTAACCTCTTTCTCATGTCTTTTCTAGCTGTCACATCCCCATAGCTTGTGCTTTTCACCGCTATAGAACACAAACGATCATATCAACACAATTATATATTGAATCAAATTTATTGAATTTTCAGATGAATTTTACATTTCTTTTCAATATAACTCTACTCATCATATATCTTGCTTTATATTCAACATGTTTGAAATCAAACGGAATTTTCATTGAGTGACTACAAAGTATGATGTAATATAAGTTATACTCACGAAGTGATTAATGATAAAAAAATAGAATTGATTGAATAAAAGTTATGCAGATTACATCCTTTAAAAACGCACTTAGAAAACATCAATACACAGAAAATAAAAAAATCTCTTTATGAAGTGAGAGAGAACCAATGTCCTGGTTGTCTTTGGTGGTAGATCAGATCATGAAGAAATCAAAGCTGGATACCTAACAGTATTCAACAGTATTCAGCAAAGTTTCATCAAGGAAGGTAAATATGAATGATATAGAAGATAGAACATCAACATTAGATTCTATGTTTTTTTCATTAGTTTACATGTTCCGGTTAGCTTTATCAGAACCACTCTACTGACGGCTAGTCAAGCTAGCCGAAACATGTAAACTCATAATACACAGAACCTAGATGTTGATATTCCATCTTCTATGTCATCTACATTCAGATTCATATTAAATACTGATATACCTAAGTTGTCTTTCGATTGATGTCTAGACTGGGAAGAAAGAATTACTGCACAGCTTAGAAACATACTTTATACCTGGGTTAATTTTATAGAAGAATTCTTTGTACTCATCCATCCACACCTCTACAATGCGTTGTGTGTTGTGATTGATGATACGTGCCACGCCCCCTGGCCAGGAGTAGGGTGAAGTCTTTCTGAACACATGTCCTACCCTGGAGCATGTAACAATAAATACTTGTCCCCCACACATCCATACCTACAAAATAAAGGGAGACAAATTCTCACCAATCTGGAAACTTTAATATGACCTGTATTGAAATGTCAAAATCAGAAATATGTAAAAAATATAGTAATTTATTACAAACCATAACAAGTAGTAAATTAATTTATCTTCAAAGCAGTAAAATGACAGAAATCCATTTATTTAACAATTAAGAACTACTTATTTCATATTTCAATTTCAGCGAGTGTGAAGCATCTTTCCAGTCAAAGTTTGCCATCTCAACCAATCAAAACATGTTCACAGTTTATTCCACATGTGGTAAAAATACTTGGAATGACTTATTAATACCTTGGAAACTGATTAACAACATTATATTGTGGTAAAATTCAAAAATCTCAATGGCAAAAGGTATATAACATTACTTGAAAAACATCATAACTTCCCTAACTTCATTTATCATATTCTTCAGAAGAACATTCAAAGTAGTGCTTACTCTGGAGGACATCTCCAAGTGTTACTTACTCTGGAGGACATCTCCAAGTGTTACTTACTCTGGAGGACATCTCCAAGTGTTACTTACTCTGGAGGACATCTCCAAGTGTTACTTACTCTGGAGGACATCTCCAAGTGTTACTTACTCTGGAGGACATCTCCAAGTGTTACTTACTCTGGAGGACATCTCCAAGTGTTACTTACTCTGGAGGACATCTCCAAGTGTTACTTACTCTGGAGGACATCTCCAAGTGTTACTTACTCTGGAGGACATCTCCAAGTGTTACTTACTCTGGAGGACATCTCCAAGTGTTACTTACTCTGGAGGACATCTCCAAGTGTTACTTACTCTGGAGGACATCTCCAAGTGTTACTTACTCTGGAGGACATCTCCAAGTTTTACTTACTCTGAAGGACATCTCCAAGGACATCTCCTCCAAGTGTTACAGCCACTGTGGAGGACATCTCCAAGTGTTAATTACTCTGGAGGACATCTCCAAGTGTTATTATATAACATCTCCAAGTGTTACTTACTCTGGAATTACAAACGTTGGCCATTATACAAAGTTTGGCTCTGAAGGACATCTATAAGTTTTTACATATATCCATGGCTATTATACAAAACATGGCTATAGTAGGAGTTCTATAAATTACAAACGTTGGCTGTTATACAAAATACTGGCTATTGTAGGGGTTCTATAAATTACAAACATTGGCTATTATATAAAATACAGGCTATAGTAGGAGTTCTATAAATTACAAACGTTGGCTGTTATATAAAATACTGGCTATAGTAGGAGTTCTATAAATTACAAACATTGGCTATTATATAAAATACTGGCTATAGTAGGAGTTCTATAAATTACAAACGTTGGCTATTATATAAAATACTGGCTATAGTAGGAGTTCTATAAATTACAAACGTTGGCTATTATACAAAACACTGGCTATAGTAGGAGTTCTATAAATTACAAACGTTGGCCATTATATAAAACACTGGCTATAGTAGGAGTTCTATAAATTACAAACGTTGGCTGTTATACAAAATACAGGCTATAGTAGGAGTTCTATAAATTACAAACGTTGGCTGTTATACAAAATACTGGCTATAGTAGGAGTTCTATAAATTACAAACGTTGGCTATTATACAAAATACTGGCTATAGTAGGAGTTCTATAAATTACAAACGTTGGCCATTATACAAAATACTGGCTATAGTAGGAGTTCTATAAATCACAAACGTTGGCCATTATACAAAATACTGGCTATAGTAGGAGTTCTATAAATTACAAACGTTGGCTATTATATAAAATACTGGTCACGGTAGTGGTTATGTAAATACAAAAATTAGTTATCATACCAAATATATTGGCCATTTTAGGGGTTTTGTAAATACTGGAGTCAGCTGTGCATTAAAGTGTTGAGGACACTCAGAGACACTGTGTATTATGTGTATTGAAGTAAAGGAATAAAGGAAGTGTTATATCAATATGTGATGGCTGTCATTCTGAGTAATTGGTAACGCTAATTATATTATATAAAAATTCAAGTCATACAGCAATGATAAGATCTTCAAATGATCATTATGGTGAATGAGTGTGATTTTTTAAAAGGTAATAACAGACCATGTCCGAGTGTGACTCTGAAATCTGCACTGTTTCCAATGTAATGCACGCTTATAGGTCAGGTTTGATTATTTTATTGTGTTCATGGGTTGAGATTTCAATATGGATGATCAGTTATTATAACTGGCTAGTGACCGATCAATTAGTTTATCCAATTAACTGTTTTTTTTTCAATTATTTAAAATCATCTTACACAATAGAGACCAATAACATTTCATCAGTTCATAGCTTGTTTGAGCACTGCACATTATTACTGGTTTAGGTCTCTTTTAAATTGATGAGTCCTACTGATACTAGAAGTTGAGGGTAACCACGGTTACCTTTTTAACCTTAGCTAGTGGGGATTTCTCTTTCGTCTAGTGGTAGAGTGTTTGCCTAGAGATCAAAGAGTCAGATAGCTTAACCAGAATCATTAGTATTGGTGGAGGTGTAAACCAGATAGAAGAAGAATACTAGCTATAGGCTTAGTTCAAACCCAAGCAGCTAGGAGTTCTGTTTTTTCAATGACTCATTCCAATAAAGTCTTTATGTATTATTACTGCATCAAAATCCAAGATCTACAAACATGTTCATTTCTGAGCAAAATCATAAACCAATCACACCTTCATTTTCAAGATATATTCAACAACAACTGCACAAAAGGTTTCATTTCACAGAAAAAGGTTGGTAAATCCTTGCTCACGACTGTACACATTGTTTTACAAGACAGCTGTAATAGGATATAAGAAAAGACCAAATAGGCTTTTTAGCTGTCCAAGCATTTAAACACGCTATTCATGATATGCTGTAAATTCATAATTAGGCTTTTAATCACATGTATGTATGTATATATATATATGTGTGTGTTTCAGTATATTTCTGGTTTGATTGGAATAACACTTAATGAGAAAACTAAGCTAAATGCTTAAATTTCAAGTCCAGTTTCTCTGTAATCTAACTAGCTGCACAGTAAAGATATTCTGTAAATGATGAATGTGTAGAGGTGTCCACTATGTGATATACGAAAGTAGTCTAACTTTTGGGACTTTTTGTCATATGACAAGACCAAACAAAAAATAGTCAGTTTCAAGAATTTCACACAAAATAGATAATTTTGCATAATCATACACCACAGTGTTGTACAGCCCTACTTGATTAAAATTCAAATTAAGGCAAATGTCAACTTCTACAAAGACTAAAATGGCTGAAAACAAGTTTCAAGTTTTACAATTTATCTTTCTTATCTTGTGTCTGTAGAATAGAAGTACATATGAATATAACCAATAGAAACTTAAGTGTGAATTTCTTTAATTACACAAATCTCCTATAATGATAACATACTTTGTTGGATTACTGCGATCTCCATTTCGTCGGTCCAATTCCCTCTGTGGTACTGGATACCATCTAAAGTTGAGCTTCCAGTTAAAGCCACCCCAAGTCATGTCAGAACCAGTAATGTACTCAAAGGTGTCATCGCTGATCACATCAATAATTGGGCAAACCACAGACGTCCTGCAACAGTCATGACATTAAGTCAACACAAGATCTATCAGACAGTGCACTCAAAAAACCAAGACATCAAATCAACACACGATGTTTCAAAGCGTACTCAAAAAACATCAGGACACTGAGTCAACACACAAGGTTTTAGAGAGTAAACACACATTACCACAACACCAAATCAACAGATGGGTTGAGAGAATATTCAGCATATCTGTAAACATGCCAAGATATAAACAGCAAATATCTATTTAAGAATCTATACTAATTTTCACACATCATTACACCGAGTCAACACTCCATGTTTAAGGTAGTATCCATGACACAAACTGACACACAACATTTCTCATGGTATTCAGTAATTATTATACAATGGAGCAGATACCAAGGGTTCTCTGTAGTAATACTGTAGTAATACTGTAGTATATTTATGTAGGTTTGAAATAACATTAGATGTCAAGGGGAAAACTCCAGTCATAGGAGTACATCAACAACACATCAAATCCATGAACCATGCACATCCTCTCAAAGTTCAAATGATACACAGGTGTACAGGGCTTGGTGTAACAATCCTCCAATTGCACTGATCAGCACAATACACTTTACAAATTAACCCAATAAACTGTAAAATCACAACAGTGTATACCTGTCCTTGTGAATCTCGGCTAGAAGTGGCTCCAGCCAGCCCTCTGTACACTCACAATGAGCATCCAGAAATGTGATCACATCACCTTTAGCTGCCGCTGCTCCTAAACAGAGTTGTTTAATCCCACTTTTAAAATTGATTCAGATTACAAAAAACTTAATCCTTAAAAAGCAATTAATGATGGTGATTTCTCACTTCATGGATATCTTGACGGTAGACAAATATTAAAATGTGCATTTAATACAGCAGAACTATCAATTAAATGTTGTCAGAAATACTTAAGTTAAACTTCCTACCCCGTTATTTTTCTGACTGATCATAATTTGTATCTCAATGATGACAAATATAGTGGAGCATCAATGAAATGACATAGAAAGATATTATAAAGCAAGAAATACAAAAATTCTTTTATCTTTTATTAGTTAATAATGACTAACTACAAGTAACATGAGAGGAGACATATTCCCCTAATTCCAGATATATATAACAATGGTATACCTGTCAGTCTGGCTCGGATCAGTCCATTCCGTGTTTCTGATCTCATAACTTTTGTGTGTACAGGCAAGGTAGCTATATACTTCTCTAGTTTTCTACCTAGTTCTTCTGCAAGATCAATTTTCATGAGTTAGCAGACAAACCTGACATAACTGAAAAATGTTGACCCAGTAACTTCTTCAAATTTATTACCTTCACATTGACCTAATTACATAAACCGCTAAAAATGACACATTACTCAAACGACAGATCTGATAAAACAATTCACTATTGATTTGAAATTCTCATTTTTAACAGTTCATGATCACCTGTTCTTCAAAATAGGTAACCAAGACCTATATGACCTTGACAAAATTTTATTTATCTGTCATAAACTTGGTTAGGAAAGTTACCTCGCTCACTGGCATCATCCACTAAGATGATTTCCTTGACTAGACGAGCTGGTGAACGGTTAATGATACTGTGAACTGTACGTAAAAGTGTTGACCAGGCTTCATTGTGAAAAACGATCACTATACTAGTTGTAGGTAGGTCAGATACTGGGGCATACTTCTTCCTCTTACACCTGAAATGGGTTACAGGTCAGCATTTTAAAGAGTTCAGAGTTCAAAGGTCAGTACAATGTAAACATACATGTTTATGAAAAATGCTAAACATCACTACTACAAAGATGAACTCAAGTAAAGCAAAATATTCTTGAGGGATTTTAATCATCAAGGTATTGTCTATAAAGAAATCAAAACAATTATACAGATATAAAGTTTGCACAACTTGTTAAAAATATATCCAAAGTAGAGCCAACGCTGTTGCTACTACGGTTGGTGGATCAAGGGCTCCTTTGCCTTTCACATTGATATCTGAGAGTATGCAGGGGATTGCTTAGGAAGGATCAACTTAAATCAGGATAAATCTATCTCAATACGCTAGCGACAAGTTCTTCAATGCTTTATTAGGTAGTCTTTAAATTTGTTAAAAAGTCACTCTGTTGCAAGTTCATCAGAATAATGAAAACATTAAAATTTTGTTTTTAACTGAAGCTTAATGCAAAAGAATATATCTTTACAAAAGAAATTATGAAAAAGACCATGAATTTCTTTATCAATATCATTTCCAAGGTGTATGTATTATTGACAATTTCCTTTTATTCTTGAAAATAACAACCTAAACAAAGGGTTTGAAAGGTCTTATCATTTAGGAGAAAAAATCTTTTGGAAAAAAAATTGATGTTTAGTGCTGAAACCACTAAACATAAATTCTTTTTAAAAAAAATAGACCTGATAAACCCTGGGCAAATCTGAAGATCATAAGTTTGTATTTGTCCAACATCACAATTGTCATCTTCCTAATAATTCTTCATAATTCCTAATGACTTACGCGTCCATTCTGTAGTCTGGAAGGGACCGGTTGAGAGACATCATGTCACTAGCAACCAGGTTAAACTGGTTGATTTTGAACTTCTCTTTGGCTTCACTCTGACGGTCGGTAGGCACAACCACACCCTTCCCCATTTCCCCTGGCCCAGAGGGATGCCGCTGTATTAGTCCTAAAACAATGATTTAACAACAACTCTCAGTATCTACTGGTAGAACAAACCTGAATGTTAAATGATATAACAGATGTCATTACTAATTTCAATGCATTCGCTTGGAATCAAACCCAAGGCCTCTGGTTTACTTAAGTCTTACACTCAACTTTGGCTCTCTAGCCTAGTGGTACACTGCAGCTTGTATTTTCCATGGTTACATATACTCAACCGCCAGGGAAGACCTCATCTGGCTGAGCTGTACATTGAACCTAGTATTCATAAGAGAAACACCAGAAAATGTCTATCAAACATCAATACCCTATTCCTATATCCAAACCAGTAACTAATAAGGTGTATAAAACTTTGGGAGTAAATATAAGTAAATTTGTTGAGAAGTTCTCAAGGTATGACATTGATTCAGAAGGAGAATTGAGGAGTAGGACAAATATGGTTACCACTACCAGGTTATAAAACAAAAGACCCCATGTGCCTGCATCACTCACCTGGTATCTAATGCTCATATCAAACACAGGAGCATTTCGCACCACTGTTAAGTAAACCTCAAACAAGCTTTATCTTGTGAACATATCTGCCAAATATCATGCTTCTGGGCCTCTTGGCAGCTTATCAAATATAGTCATTTAAAGGTTTTAACAAAATAGACCCCTTTGACCTTGAATACAGGTCATGGTCACTTCTTTTTCTTAAAACAAAATTGATTGCCTTTATCTCATAGACCTATCTGACAAATACTACGCTTCTTGGCCTTTTTCTTGTCAATCAGAATAGTTTTAAGGTTTTAACAAATTCGATCCATGTAACATTGATAAGTTAAGGTCATTTCATTTTTTCAAAATTTGTCAGGATTCATATTTGGAACCTATCAACCAAACATCATGCTTTCAGGTCTTTTGATTAGAAGAAATTGTTTAGAGGTCTTAACAAATTTGACCCCTTCGACTTTTGATATATATATATATGTTTTTTTTCACAAACTTTGTCAGAATTCACACTAAGAATCTTTCTCCCAAATATGATGCTTCTGGGTCTTTTGGATGGTCAGAAGAAGTTGTTTAAAGGTTTTGACAAATTTAACTCCTGTGACCTTGAATATGAGTCAATGTCATTTTTCATTTGCAATCTTTGTTGGGCTTTTATCCCAGGAATCGATAATCCAAACATCACGATATTTGCTCTGATGGTTTGCGAGAAGAAATACTGACACCAGACTGACTGACGGACAAAGCACCTGAACATAGACTCAAGTGGCCATTTGGGCCAGGTAAGCTAAATTGGACTATGGTGACAACCTTAGATACCTATAAACTTAAGTGACTAATAACCACCATATATAGTAAGGTGTAGAGTATGATGTTGATTTATAAACTAAATCTGCTGAGTAGTTTCAGAACAATATATGTAAACAAGCAATTTTTGAGAAAGTTCTTCATCGAAAGAAGGTAAATTAAAAGCTTAATGTCTGACCCTTAAAAGATGATGTATAGTCACAAACAGGAGGAAACCTCCTGGGTTGAAAACAAATTATAATTGTTAAGTTCTTTGTTCAAACAACTTTAGAATAATATAAGATTCCCTTTTTAAACAAAACATATACAAAATCCATCTGATTTCACTCAAAAACTAATAAAACCAAAAGATCAAAATGCAACCTCTGTTGAAATACAAGAAATTAAAAAAAAAAGAAAAGTAGTAATTAATGTAAAATATGGGAATAATTTTAATTCAAGGATAACATTCTGAAAGAGGTAAATTTCACCTGCTAGCTAGGGGGAAACAACCCAATACCAGTAGTAAAATAATCCTAGATTGATACCTGTGTATCATTTGTGATCATTTCTGCTGAATCTGCACTGTTGCTGGTTATATATGTACTGTAGCTGTTCAAACACAGTCATAAAGCTACATAAATGTTTATACTGCATATGAATAGTACATTAATGTCATAATGACATTTACATCTTAATAGTGTATTGAAATAAGTATTTTGTGTCAAATACCTGAACTTACTACAGAGAGAAATACATGTTTATCAGCAGTAATGCAAGTTTCACAATAAAACAGACTTAAATGACATCAATGCCAGGGAATTAATTCAATGATAATGAAGTGTTCTTACCCTAGTGTTACAAATTACTGATTTACGAGGCACTATACATGTCATATTGATATAAGAATTGCATTATAATGAACATTAATATCATGAAGTCTTACAACTGATGTCCTGTTTACATATTTTGTGAAATATAATCTGCATTACTTAAAACGTTATCTGCATAATTTTAACTAGTTTCTATAATTAATTACAGCGTGCTGATTGTCTTCTATACCTTTGGGTAAGAGCTTGCCTAAAAATCCATCATCACTGCCCTGACGCTTAGAATCCATATGAGGCTGGTTATCATTCTTTCCCTTACACTCTGTGCCTGATCCCATGGCTGCACAATCAGTATAGTACATCAAGATGAAGACATCAATGAGGAACCAGACCATAGAGGTGACCAATATCACCTTACAGTACTGTAGCCTCACACGGCTCACCATTGTCTTACAGTAGGTTACAGTCGCTCTACATCTGCAACACAAAATACAATATTGTAGATTCATATGCTTTACCATTGTCTTACAGTAGGTTACAGACACATCATATCTGCAACACAAAATACAGTACTGTAGCCTCACACGGCTCACCATTGTCTTACAGTAGGTTACAGTCGCTCTACATCTGCAACACAAAATACAATATTGTAGCCTCATATGCTTTACCATTGTCTTACAGTAGGTTACAGACACATCATATCTGCAACACAAAATACAGTACTGTAGCCTCACACGACTCACCATTGTCTTACAGTAGGTTACAGTCACTCTACATCTGCAACATAAAATACAATATTGTATCCTCATATGCTTTACCATTGTCTTACAGTAGGTTACAGTCGCTCTACATATACAACACAAAATACAATATTGCATCCTCATATGCTTTACCATTGTCTTACAGTAGGTTACAGATGCTCTACATCTACAACACAAAATACAATATTGTATCCTCATATGCTTTACCATTGTCTTAAAGCAGGTTACAGACGCTCTACATCTACAACACAAAATACAGTACTGTAGCCTCACACGACACATCATTGTCTTACAGTAGGTTACAGACGCTCTACATCTGCAACACAAAATACAATATTGTAGCCTCACACGGCTCACCATTGTTTTACAGTAGGTTACAGTCGCTCTACATCTGCAACACAAAATACAGTACTGTAGCCTCACACGACACATCATTGTCTTACAGTAGGTTACAGACGCTATACATCTACAACACAAAATACAGTACTGTAGCCTCACACGACACATCATTGTCTTACAGTAGGTTACAGTCGCTCTACATCTACAACACAAAATACAGTACTGTAGCCTCACACGGCTCACCATTGTCTTACAGTAGGTTACAGATGCTCTACATCTACAACACAAAATACAATATTGTAGCCTCATATGCTTTACCATTGTCTTACAGTAGGTTACAGACGCTCTACATCTACAACACAAAATACAATATTGTAGCCTCACACGACACATCATTGTCTTACAGTAGGTTACAGACGCTCTACATCTACAACACAAAATACAGTAATGTAGCCTCACACGGCTCACCATTGTCTTACAGTAGGTTACAGACGCTCTACATCTACAACACAAAATACAATATTGTAGCCTCATATGCTTTACCATTGTCTTACAGTAGGTTACAGTCGCTCTACATCTACAACACAAAATACAATATTGTAGCCTCACACGACACATCATTGTCTTACAGTAGGTTACAGATGGCTACATCTACAACACAAAATACAATATTGTAGCCTCATATGCTTTACCATTGTCTTACAGTAGGTTACAGTCGCTCTACATATACAACACAAAATACAGTACTGTAGCCTCACACGGCTCACCATTGTCTTACAGTAGGTTACAGATGCTCTACATCTACAACACAAAATACAATATTGTAGCCTCATATGCTTTACCATTGTCTTACAGTAGGTTACAGTCGCTCTACATCTACAACACAAAATACAATATTGTAGCCTCATATGCTTTACCATTGTCTTACAGTAGGTTACAGTCGCTCTACATATACAACACAAAATACAGTACTGTAGCCTCACACGACACATCATTGTCTTACAGTAGGTTACAGTCGCTCTACATCTACAACACAAAATACAATATTGTAGCCTCATATGCTTTACCATTGTCTTACAGTAGGTTACAGACGCTCTACATCTACAACACAAAATACAGTACTGTAGCCTCACACGGCTCACCATTGTCTTACAGTAGGTTACAGTCGCTCTACATCTACAACACAAAATACAATATTGTAGCCTCATATGCTTTACCATTGTCTTACAGTAGGTTACAGTCGCTCTACATCTACAACACAAAATACAGTACTGTAGTATCATGGTTCTCAATGATGTCTTACTGCAGGTTATATTCATACTACATTTTGTACCACAGCAGAATACCACTCTGATGTGACACCACTGCCGCACAGCAGTATATATATCACATCATTATTGTTGTACTACATACATATTACACAGGACTACAGACTACAGTATACTAGCCCCATAAGGCACCATATCTGAATGAGAACATGCATCCAGCGAGGCTTCACCATCCTGGATGTCCCAGTTACCACGATTATTTTTTAATCATATGTACTTATAGCTTGTACTTCCCAGGCACCACTGAATAAAAGGCTACATTTACCCACTAAAATACCCTGTAAGTTAAGTGATAACGGCGGGATTAAATCCTTTTTTTCATTTAAAATGTTCAGAAACATCACCCTAGAAAACCAAGTGACAAGATCTGGCATGCAGAGTCGTCTGAAATACATGTATATGCCATAAGTTAAAAATATGATTCAAAAGTCAGCATAATATACATTATACCAGTAATATACAGAAGATTTATGTCTTTGAACAGCTTTAGGTACGTGAATCATGTATGTCGTGATTAACATTCATGAAGTCCACACTATATAAGTAGATATATGTACGTACATGTATATAATTTAATGATCCTACAACTGTTATCAATTTATATATATATATATATATATATAACAGACTTGTTAAAAATTCATAAAACGTAAAATGTTAATGGAATTTTAAATTCATAACTTCTACATATTAACAATTCAATTTAGTGTCCTTTTGCAGTATATTGCTTTTTTGACTTCCAAAAATTTCATATTAATAAAATTATTATTGTTTATACATTTTAATTGCATTTCATATAGGTTTATTGGTTAATATAATATGTTAATTAGAATATTTCCATCATAATGAGGCAGTCCCATGAACTCCACACATTGACCGTGAGGGGCACATGTGTAATACACTTTAAATTTATACTGGGGTTCATAGTGTTGTTACAGTTGATCAATGCAATTAACTATCATCTCAGACACTGGATAATTATCCATCAATTCTATGAAAAATTACCGGCAGTTATATTGATAAATGATTGAAGTTTCTATTTTTAATACATTGACTATGGGGGTTATAATAGCTAGGTCACTTAGTACATTGACCTATGTAACTTCAGGTGGAAATCTGCTGAGGTGTATAGTTTGACACTCGATCCCTACTTGCATTTCTCAGGAAGCTAATTGCTTTCAATGGCATGTGACGAACCTCCCAAATGTTGTTCAGTGTGGTCTACATATCTATCAGCTACCACGAAGAGACCCTATCTGAAAACAACTCTGGTTGTTCACAGGGTTATAAGCTCAGCAAAACAAAACTATATACAGTTCAATTACAGAATAGAAGCCCTATTTACTAATGGAAAGCACATGAATTACTTCGGTTACCTGAGAGGTTACGGATACAAAACTGACAAATAAGGTAGAGGAAACTCCCTGTGAAATTCTGTCCAGTAGACAGGAATGATGAGTTCTAGGGTGAAACACTACTAATATGTAATCATAAATCTCAGCCCATACCTTGGTAATGAGTCATAAAATAGTGTCTGCTTTAATTAAAATACATACCATAAACAGAACAAAAACAGTTCTAATCATTGTCTCAAATTAAACCAAAAAAGTAGAAAAGACAACAAAATTAATCAAGGGAATTTATAAAGAGTCTAAACTTTAAAAGATTGTTTTTGAATTGAAGTGAGAGATGTTTACAAATGAAAGGATTTATTTAACAACATAACAGCATGACAAAATCCACTATAATTTACATTTGGTAAAGTAATTAATGTCTTACTTACTGCATATATCTGTTGTTATTCATAATTAATATAATTAAACATCATATGTATAACAAACAGACTGGGACATCTACACAGCTCTAAACATACACATTTTGTTTCATTACATCTGCATGTGTTACAACAGTACAACTACATTTAATATCAACAATTATTTACAGGGATTTTTGAGGGCTGCTTAGGGTCGGTAATGGGCCCCATTCCCGATTGAAATAATTTCATATTCAAGCCAAATTCCTAAATTTCCAATTTACTCCTAAAAAGTTTCTTTTGATTAACCAATTTTCTTCACATAATAAGCAAAAAATGCCCCATCCCAAACCGATAAAAAACACTCTGAATTCTTTATGACAGGGACCATCCATAACTTTTTACTGTATGTTACAGTTCACATATGGCAAGACATGTCAGTTAGAAAAAACATAATTTTTGATATTTTGTAATCTGTACATATTTGTTTTGCTATTTTTACACATGACCAATAAGAAATCTAGCTTATATATATATGTGAGTGTTAGGATGAAAAAATAACCAACGGTTAATATATCGCCAGTGTCAACTGTAATAGTCTTTATATGTTCTTAACTAGTTGTGACATTGTTTACAATACACTATTCCTTATAGCAACGTTTTTTGACGAGAGTCTCTGGACTGCATATATCTTTTTATACCTGTAGCTATATAGGTCTCTTAACAACAGGACATGTATTTTTATAAGGATGTAATGAACAGAAAAGCTTATTAATAGATAGCACTCATAGAAAATTACATAAATATGGAAATTTTCACCCCACTGGTGAAATGTAATTTATTCTAGAAAAACAAACAAACAAATGCGAGATACTGGACACATGATTGAAGTATAATGGTATGTAAAAGGACAATAACTGTAAAATTTGTTTACAAATGAGTCCATGGTACATTTATAATACTTGTACATTTTTGGTCACTTTCACAGCAACTAGAAAACTTAAAAGTACAGTAAAAAAAGTATAAGTTTCATTGGCAGATTGACAAAATTTTAGAAACAAACCGAAAAATTACAACTTATACTTACATGTATAAAAAACGACAGCTCATGATCAGGGACAAAAACTTGTACCTAATTAAAGCTGGCATATTGTACATACATGTATGTCATTGCAAAACTCACCATCATACTAGCTATAACAACCCATTGAGCTGGGCTGGCTTTATTTCTGTCAGCTGTAGGTGGATTGATTTCATTCAGTGAT